AGTCCCCCCCAGTCCCTCCCAGTCCCTCCCAGTCCCTCCCAGTCCATCCCAGTCCCTCCCAGTCCATCCCAGTTCATTTTTCACCGATTTTTTTTTTATTTTTTTATTTCCCCTCACGCCGGCCCGGCGTTGGCGCCCCCTGGCGGCGCGCCATTAATGCTTCCCTGGCCCCGCCCCTCCCGTGGGCGGAGCCTCTGAGGCGCCACGGGGCGGGGCCTCCCCGTCTCCGCCTCTGATTGGTCCCTGCTCCGCTGCTGGGCGGAGCTTCCCTGCGCTCCCCTCAGCGACGGCAGAGGCCCCGCCCCTTCCACCTCATTGGCTGCGGGTGCTGAAGTGGGCGTGGCTTCGGAGGCGCTGCCTGGAAAGGGGCGGGGCCAGAGGAGCCAAAATTGGGGATTTTTTGCAGCCGGGAGCCCCAAAATTGGGGAATTTTCCCCCAAAATTTGGGAATTCTCCCCCCAAGATCCCCCAAAACCCTCAGGGACCCCAAAATTGGGGAATTTTCCACCCAAAATTTGGGAATTTTCCACCCAAAATTTGGGAATTTCCCCCCAAAAATTGTGAATTCTCACCCAGGACCCCCCAAAAACCCCCCAGGGACCCCAAAATTTCGGGAATTTCCCCCCAAAATTTGGGAATTCTGCCCCCAAAATCCCCCCCCGGACCCCAAAATTTGGGATTTTCTCCCTCAGGACCCCAAAATTTGGGAATTTCTCCCCAAATTTGGGAATTTTCCCCCCAGATTTGGGATTTTTCCCCCCAAATTTGGGAATTTCCCTCCAAATTTTTGGATTATCCCCCAAAATTTGGGAATTTCCCCCCAAAATTTGGGAATTCTCCCCCCCAAATCTGGGATTTTCTCCCTCAGGACCCCAAAATTTGGGAATTTCCCCCCCAAACCCCAAAAATTTGGGAATTTCTCCCCAAAATTCGGGAATTTCCCAATTTCCCCCCCCCCAAAATTTGGGGCTCACCTTGGGGGGGTCCCGGGGGGTCCTGGGGGGGTCTCGAGGCTTTGCCCCGCAGGATGTCGATCACCTGGGGACCCCAAAATCCACAAAATTTAACCCAAAATTCACAAAATCCACACCATTCACCCCAAAATTTACAAAACCCACACAACTCACCCCAAAATTCCCCAAATTTAACCCC